ACGCCGCAATCCCTTCTCCTCCATTCTCCTCCAGGATTTTGGGCACGCACGCACACGCGCCCAGTGAGATTTTGAAGCCACCTGGTCTCAGTATTAGACTTTTAAAAAACTGGAGTTTCTTCTTGTTCACATCTGTTCCTCTTTTTTATGGCTGACTGCATGTTGCACATGCAAGAGAGAGAGCAGGAGTGAGAGAAGGGGAGCTTCCAACTTGCCTGGTCTCTCTATCATCATTTTTCTCCCCACTCTTCATCCTGTCATGATCCTGGGCACCCACACACAGGACCAGAGTGTTTTTCAAGCCTCAGGGTGGGGACTTGAACCCTGGTCTGGTTAGCTCTGCACAGCAGAGTGCCTTCCTGTTGTGCTAAAATGCCAGCCCAGCCAATGTCTGAACCACCCTCTGGAAGTGACCTGGTGATGGGAAAAATTCTCCTTCCCTTGCAGCTGTAAAAGGCCAATATTTTGCTTTCAACGTCCTTCAGGTCTTTACTAAATGTCACCCATATGGGGCTGGCCATGACCTAGTGGTTCTGGAAGCCAGATCCCACATGGCTAACTGCAGGTCAAATTCCAGCCCCAGCAGCTTCAGAAACATGCCCGTCACATGTGGGTATGTGCCCAACATCCCAATAAGCTGGAGAAATGGAGAAGGGATGGTGGCTTGACGGCACCCCATTGGGAGGTGCTTCCTCTCTCTCTCTGCCTTTCTCTGCTGAGCACGTGCACCCACTGGAAATTAAAAAAAAAAAAAATCATCCTTATGGGTGAGACCAAATTGAGCTTTTGGAAAGAGGGGGTTGCTTGTGCACTAATACATTTTTGTTTTTTTTTTTTTGCTATCAGGCGCGTGCGCTCACTAGTGAGAGAGAGAGAGACAGAGAGACAAAAAGCAAGAAATCACCCCCACCACCACCACCGGGGGGGGATGGCCACGGCACAATCCCTTCTCCTCCATTCTCCTCTCGAGATCTTGGGCACACATGCACACGCACCTGGCGTGAGTTTTAAGCCACCGGGTCCTGGATTCAATCCGTGGTCAACTACCTGGAAGTCCAGTGACCTAGCCATTATGCCATCTGCTGGTCCCACCCCATATTTTTTTCAAAGAATTGTTTTATTTCATTTTATTTATGTATTATTATTATTCAATTTGACCAGAGAGTGAGAGAGGGAGAGTGAGAAGGCAAGCCATCAGGTCCAGGACTCGAATCACTGTGGGCCACATGGGAGTCCAGTACCTTAACCACCATGCCACCTGCCAGTCACCCACCGTATTTTTTTATCTTTTTCCATAACATATCCCACCATTTTAGCTACTATACATTTTACTTTTAAAAATTGAGCTATAATGCACATGCATCTGATTCATCCATTTAGAGTATACAAGGAAATGGTGTTGGGTTTTCTGAGTTGCACAACCATCATCACAGACTATTATAGTGCATTCTCATCGCCCCAGAAAGAACCCTAGACCCCCTCAGCAGCCAGCTCGCACTTCCTCTCAAACTCTGCCCTCCTCCCCGCCTTACGCCAGGCCAGGGCAACCCCCAATCTACTGGCTGCCTTCACACTTGCCTGCTGGACATCGCGTAGAAGTAGAATGACACGTTACGGGCTTCAGTGACCGCCTTCTTCCCCTTAGCATGTGTTCAGGTTCGTCCATGCTGTGGCAGGTATCAGCGTTCAGTCCTCGTTGTGGCCAGGCAATAGTCCCTTGTATGCGTACGGCACTGGATTCATGTGTTGTTCAGTTGATGGACATTCAGGTTCTTCCCACTTTTTTTTTTTTTTTTTTGGCTATGATAAATAATGTGGCTATTATAAATAATTCTGCTATAAATACTTGTGTAAAACTTTTCTTTTTTTTTTTTTTATTTCAAGGTTTTTGCCATAGGGCTTGTGTGCTCACCAGAAGGACAGAGAGAGACAGAGAGAGAAATCACCCCCCAGGGGAAATAGCCACAACGCAGTCCCTCACACACACAGGGAGGGGGGATGGCCATGCCGCAATCCCTTCTCCTCCACTCTTCTCTTGGGATTTTGGGCACACATGCACACACACGCACCCAGCATGAGTTTCAAGCCACTGGTTCTAGGACTTGAACTGCAATTGGCTATGTGAGATTCCAGTTTTGTTCTGTTTTGTTTTCCTGCCCTCCAGCAAGAGGTGAGACTCTTTTATGTGTTGCAATGGAAACCTTCTGGCTTTCACACTTTAATGACCTTGGCCTTTCTTTGTCTTTTACCAATGAATTAATAAGAATGGAAGAGGAGGAACTGCAGTGTGGCCATCTCCCCTGAGGAGTGATTTTTCACTTTCCCTCTGTTTCTCTCTCCAGTGAATTCATGTGCCCTATGCAGAAACCTAAAAAAGAAAGAAAGGAAAAAAAGAACAGAAGGAATGATGTGAACACAACAGAAGGACATGAGGGTCAAATAAAAGGGACCCCCATTGGTCAAATTTGGGACCATTTGAGCAAGAAAAAAATCAACACTATTCATTGATTATACTGTGTCGAATAAGCAAAGAATCCATGGATCTATATTGATACAAATAATTCACCTAATAAACAAATTAATAATTTAAAGGGGGGCGGGGATTAGTACTGGGTACCCAGTATGTGAGTTCTGGTGGGTTGATAAGGAAAGAGAAGATGCGGAAATGGAATACAGACCATGTTCTCTTGCTCTCTGCTTCTTGTGATGCTACCAGAAGATCCCCCTCAGAGCTGGTGCCTGGACTTTGAATCTCCAAAACTTGAGCTTAACAAATCTCTATTTTTTTCTCAGGTTTTTGTCATAGGGTGCGTGTGCTTGCCAAAGAGACAAAGGGAGCACAGGGAGAAAGTGAGAAATCAGCCCCCAGGGGAATGGCCATGCCATAATCCCTTCTGCATTCTCCTCTTGAGATCTTGGGCATGCACACACACATGCCCAGAGTGATTTTTCAAGCCACTGGGTCCAAGACTTAAACTCTGGTCAGCCATGTGCGAGTCTAATGTCTTAACCACCACACCATCTGCTTGCCCCTCACAAGGTGGATTTTTTTAAAATGTGTAAATGTACTGTTGGTGGGAATATATATTAGTACAATTATAGAAAAAGATAAGGAGATTCTTCTAAAAACTAAAAACTACCATCTAATCTAGCAATCTCACTACTAGCACATATCCAAAAGAAAGGTATGAAATCAACCTAGCTGTCCATCAACAGACAAATGGAAAAAGGAAATGTCACACATGCGCGCGTGCTCCAATGGAATACTATACAGCCATTAAAAAGAATGAACTCCTGTCATCTGAGTGTAAATGGATGAGCCTGAAAGACATATAAGCCAGACACAGAAAGAGAAATACCACATGTTCTCACTTACATGTGAAAATAGGGGAAAAAATAACCTCGTCGATGTAAAGAGATGAAGAATGACTTCTGGACACTGGGAAGGATGAAGGAGGGATAGAGGAGTGTTGATCAACAGAAACAAAATTGTAGATAGATGGAAAGCACATTGACTACTGTCATAAAACATGGTGGAGAGAATGTGCTTAACACACTTTACTGAATATGCTTCAAATGGTTGAGGATGGGTACACCAGTCATCCCGATTTAATCATTGCACATTGTGTTTAAGTGTGGAAAAATCACATTGTAACAATCACACCAATAAATATTTCATTTAAAAAGTGAGTGCATATATATATATGCATGTGTGTGCGTGAAATCATATTTCTTACCAACGTAATCACCCATTGTCCCACCACAGGGAGTATAAGAGCAGAAATTTTGTCTTTTCATCTCTGTAACTTTGGTACCTATTCATTGCTGGGGGCACATCACAGATTCCAAACAAATATTATTTTGTTTTGCTTTTTAAACAAAAATTTTTTTAGGTTTTTGCCATTGGACACATGTGCTCTCTGAAGAGAGATACAGAGAGAGACAGAAAGAGAAAGTGAGAAATCATTCCGCAGGGGATATGGCCACACCACAATCCCTTCTCCTCTTTTCTCCCCTTGGTACTTTGAGCATGCATGCATATGTGCCCAGCATGATTTTCAAGCCGTTGGGTCTGGGATTCGAACCACGTGGGAGTCAGTCCATCACCTTAACCTCTACACCACCTGCTGGCCCCTCCAAATATTGTGTGGGGAGGGTATGCTGTTGGTTTTGAGCTTTGGAGGGAGAGTGATGGTCTTCATTATTTTGAATGTAAGAATTAAAAAAAACATCACTGGGCCAGGTGTAGTGGCTGAGGCGCTGGACTCCCACGTCGCTGACCGTGGTTTGAGTACTATACCCAGCAGTTTGAAGCTTATGCCAGGCACAAGTGCATGTAGGCCCCAAATCCCAAGAGGATAATGGAGAAAAAGGGATTGTGGAAAGCCACCCCCCCCCCCCCGTGAGGACTGACTTCTCACTTTCTTCCTGTCTCTGTCTGTCTCTCCAGCAAGTGCACACGCCCTCTAGCAGGAATTTATCTCTCAAAAAAGAAACTAAACAACCTACATAATTTCCTAAAAGCAAGCTTTTTGAAGAAAAGATAGAGTAATAGATTTTATTTTTGATGAGGGAAACCCGTTTATACCAAGGTATCATTTTAAACCAAGTCCAGAACTCCTGACAAAAGGAATAAACAAAGAATAGAGTCAAAAGATGACGTGTGCTGTAATCTTCCCTGAGGTGAAGTAACCGGCTATGAAGACTAGTTGTTGATCAAAATAAACTCAGACTTTAACATGGTGTCCTTCCAGATCAGCGTGAAGGAAGGCAGGTGTTTCCCCAATGATTTCCTCCTAGCTGTCAGGCCAGCATGGTTTTTCACAGCTGGACTGTAACTGCTCTTCCAATTGGCTCAGTAGTGAAACCCCAGAGATCAGTAGTGTTTGTTGTTCTTCAAAAATGCATTATCTTGAGCAGATACTTATTGTGAAAATGTTCCTGAGTTGCACCCATTCCTGCCAGCTGGAAATGTGCAGCCGGTTTGAGAGTTGCATAACATGATCTTTTACCTGGGAATGTTGAGACAGCACAACAGAGCCAACAAACTGACTAGCCTGTCCTTTGTAGTACATCTTGGCAAAAGTGAGCGTTCTGATTAAAACAGAAAGGAATTATTTGGGGAACCCTTTGAATAGGCAGGGAAAATCTAGGTCGTGGGATTTGTCTCTAGGCTTTCCTTTAATATTAGTAATAATCAGAGGGTGCCAGTTACCATGGTCTTTTGGTATGAAAATACAAGTTCCTTCAGGTCGTATTTACACAGACATACAGGTGCTGGGTGGTAGGTCCTGAACACCTGAAGGAGCACTCACAATCACCCTGAATTGTGGGAGGACCCTGGGTGATACCCTCCTGGGAAGGAATTCAGTCACTAGATGGGTCTAGAGAAAGTAGTGGGTTAACCAGGCAACCCTGGGACTCCTCTGGCAAGGCACTGAGTGCACCCTACATTCCACCCTGGCCCCCAACACCTGCCTGGCGCTGGTGGCTCACCTTGTCCCTCCCAGATCTGAACTGCACTCCAAGCCCTCCCCTCTACCCCACCCCGCGCATTCGCGCTCAACACCTACTGCACCCCAACACCACGCCAGGCGGGGCGAGCCCAGTGCTCGTGGCAGCCCCGAGGACGCGGTGCGCCCATTGGCCAGCGCGGTTCAGGGTGGAAAACGCGGCCACCCGCCGCCGCTGCCCTCGGGAGCCAAGCGATGGCGACGGGGGCTTGGGCTGCGGCGCCCGAGGGCTCAGCCCGAGCGGGCAGCCCCAGCGGCCCAGGCGAGAAGGCGGGCTCCGCGTCCCCGGCGAGCTCCGCGTTACCGGCGCGCTCGGTGGTGGCCTCCGCTCGCCCGGTGAAGGGCAAGGCGGGCCGGGAGGCGGCCCGGCGGCGGCTGCAGCTCCTGCCGGGGCCGAGGGCCGAGCGCCCCGAAGACTCGGTCGAGGAGGAGGAGGAGCAAGAGCCCGATCTCTCTGGGTCTGGGGAGGAAGAGGCGCAGCCCCTGCCCCCCGTCTGCGGATCCCCCATCAAGGGCATGTGGCGGGACGAGAAGGTGACGTTGTACTGCGACCAGGTGCTGCAGGACTGCAAGGTGAGGGGGAGAGAGGAAGAGTCCAGGAGAGCACCCGGACCGCGTTAACGGGGACAGGGATCTGGTGGAGTGGGTACCCAGGCCCAGAGAAAGCTGTGCTTCTAAAAAGCTGGGTAGTTGAGGTGTTGGACTCCCACATGGTCAATGTGGGTTTGAGTCCTGGACCTGGTGTCTTGCTTTCTCATTTCGCCTCTCTCTGGTGAGCACACGTGCTCTCTAGGAAATATAATAATAATAGTAATCAATAAAATATATATATCTTTAAAAATAGTATATTGACCCAACGTGAGTGAAGTTTCCACCGATGAAAGGTGTGCAGGCCTGTCCCAGGGGAGTTGAGGAGACAGCCCCCCATACAGTGTTTTCTGGTTTTGCTCAAAGCTCCTGAAACATGAAGATCATATATTTATAATTTTTTAAATGAAAATATTAGTAACTTGGGGCCAGCAGGTGGCATGGTGGTTAAGGGCTCTGGACTTCCACATTGCCCACAGTTCAAGTCCCAGACCTGGTGGTTTGCTTTCTCAGTTTCCCTCTCTCTCTCTCACTCTCTCTCTCTAGTGAAATCAAAATAAATAAATAAATAAAGTTACAGAAAATAATTCTTTTTTTGGGGGGGTGGGGGAGAGGCTTTTTTGCTATAGGGCACGTGCGCTCACCAGACAGACAGAGACAGAGAGACAAAAAGCAAGAAATCACCCCCCAGGGGGGATGGTCACACCGCAATCCCTTCTCCTCCATTCTCCTTTCGGGATCTTGGGCACGCACGCACACGCGCCCAGCGTGAGTTTTAAGCCACCGGGTCCGGGACACGAACCACAGTTGACTACGTGGGAGTCCAGCGACATAGCCATTATGCTAACTGCTGGTTCCCCAGAAAATAATTCTTAAGAAAAAACCACCAGATGCCATAATGGTTAGCTGGACTTCCACATAGTCGACTGCAGTTGGAGTCCCTGTCAGCAACTTGAAACTCATGCCAAGCATGTGTGTACCCGCCGTCCCAAGATCCTGTGCAAATGGAGGAGGAGGGAGTGCAGAGGGGCCATCCCTCCAGGGGGGTAATTTCTTGCTTTCTGTCCATGCTGAAAAAAGAAATACTGTACACTGTAAAGATATATGTGATTAAATGTAAATTAAAATATATAAAATAAATTAATTAAAATTAAAATATTAAATAGATAAAGCCATATAGGCCTTATCATTAGTGAGGCAAACATCTTAGTATTTTTATGTAACAATTTGTGTCCAAGATAGGACAAGATTACTTAGCCTTGACTTTTACACTTGAATACCATTTTTTGAGAAAGATTTTCACTATAGAGCACATCTGCTCTCTGGAGAGACAGACAGAAATCAAGAAACCACCCCCAATGGGGATGGCCCCACTGCAATCTCTTCTCCATTCTCCTCTCAGAATTTTGGTCATGCACACACACACACACCTGGGGTGAATTTAAAGCCACTAGGTCCAGAACTTGAACTGCAGTCAATTATGTGGGAGTCCAGTACCTTATCCCCTATGCCACCTGCTGGCCCACACTTGAATACTATTTTTTTTTCTAAATTTTAAGAATTATTTTATTATTTAACTTTATTTATCCATTTATTCGTTTTAATTTGACCAGAGAGTGATAGAGAGAGAGAGAGCATGGGAAAGCAAGTCACCACATCTGGGACTCGAACCATGGTTGGCCATGTGGGAGTCCAGCACCCTTAACCACCATGCCACCTGCTGGTCCCCACACTTGAATACTATTAATACAAATATTTACCTGTTAAGAATGGCTCTGAGGGACCACTGGTACTACTGATGGTAGCACAGTGGCAATGCAAGCTCTGGGAGGTTGAGCACATGAGTTGGCATCCCAAGGCTTCCCTAAACACACCAGGCTGTGAGCATCCAGAATCCAGGGCTGCCTGAAGCTAGGGGTGGAGAGAGGGATCCACCTCTCAAATAAGACCCTGCTGGGGATTTATTTTCTCTTCGAGGGAGAGAGAGGGGGGGGGAGAAGGAGAGGGAGAGAGAGAGAGAAAGAAACTTTAAAAATAGTTCTTAGCAGTCTAGGTTGCGGCATGATGTTTTGTGTAGAAAATGTATCTGTTAACACAGATCAGCAAATATTACATTTCTAACCTATTTCCTTTCTAAGTAGAAGAATTTGTGCACAAGGATGTTTATTGGAGTGATATTTATACAAAATTAAAAATTAGAAACTACATTTACAACAACAGGGGCAGTATAGTGGCTCATATAATATTTAGTCTTCAGAAAAGTCATGATGTATTTTTCTATGCATCATGACTTTTCTGATGACCCAAAAGAAAATCATGCAGATGTAAAAGTCATATTTTCAAGAACTATAAATTTGCCTCTATATATTGAAGTAAAAAAAAATCAGAAGGCAAAACATGATCCGTATGTATACATGAATATATGCATAGAAAAAATACTAGAAGGAAACACATCGAAATATCAACTATGGTTATCTTTGGTCGCTAGGATTAGAGATGATTTTTGTTTCCTTATATGCTCTGTATTTTTTCAGAAGGTTTACCATATTTTATGATCAGAAGAGAATTTTATTTTTAAAAACACAATTACTGGGGCTAACAGATGGCATAGCAGTTACGTTGCTGGACTTCCACATGGCAGGCCATGGTGGCTTGAAACTCACACCATGTGCATGTGCATGCATGCCCAAGATTCTGGGAGGAGAATGAAAGAGAAGGGACTGTGGTGTTGTCATCTCCCCTAGGTGGTGTGTGTGTGTGTGTGTATGTGTGTGTGTGTGTGTGTGTGTGTGTGTGATTTCTCACTTTGCCTCTGTCTCTGTCTCTCTCTCTCTGGCAAGTGCACATGCCCTAAGGCAAAACCTCTAAACACACACACACTAAAAAACTAGCGTAGTATTAATTACCAATGTATTCTGATATTGAGAGTTGGAGAAGGCCAGATCTGTTAAAGGCCATAAAAAACACATTTATATTAATTATTGTGCCATAAGACAGGGTTTGATAGTCGTTAGTTTCATCATATCATCCCTGAAGTAGTTAAATTTAAATGAAGTCAAATGGACAAATATTTATTGAATGTTTATTATGCTCCTTTGTTGTATAGAATGGAGTGCTATTTTACATTTTTATATACTAAGTATTTTTTTATGTTTATGTATTTCTTCTATGTTAGAAAGAGACGAGAGAGAGTCAGGCACCCCCAACAAGTTCTCCCCACAGCAATCCACCCAGTCCCAGCCTGCTAGACCATGGGTATACAAGCACATGTCTGGCATCCTCAAGGAGGCCCAGGACCTGAACCCAGGACTTCTTCCATGGGGTCCAGTGGGTTACCACTATGAGTGAGTACCTGGCACCCAAGTATATTTTATTATTTTTTAGAGAATTATTTTATTTTATTCATTTTTTATTCATTTGCTACAGGACACATGTGCTCACCAGAGAGAGAGAGACAAAGAGAGAGAGAAAGTGAGAGGGGCCGGCAAGTGGCATGGTGGTTAAGGTGCTGAACTCCCACATGGCCAACCATGGTTTGAGCTTTGGACCTAGTGGCTTGCTCTATCACTTTCTCTCTCTCATTCTCCTTCTCTTGTCAAATTAAAGAATAATAATAACAAATAAAATATTTAGAAAAAGAAAGGAAGAAAAAAGAAAGAAGGAAAGAAAGCAAGCAAGCAAGCAGCCAGGTCCAAGACTTCAACTGTGGTCGGCCATATGGGAGTCCAGCACCTTAACCACCACACCATCTGCTGCCTCCCGCAAGTATGTTTTAAATAGTTAGGTCATTACATCTTTTTTTTTCCTTTTTTATTTATTTTATTTTTTTGTATATACTTCTAATCATTGTTTTGTATATACTTCTAATCTCATTGTTTGGCTTACAATGAGACCATTTTGATATGTGCACATTTCTCCCCAGACCCGTTGATCAAAATATCTTCAGCAGATAACACCACACCTCCCCATCCCGTCAATGCTCAACCTCTGTATCCCTTCTCCAAATGTCCTTCGTTAGGCCCCACTCCTTCTCCACATATACCTCATCTGACATTCACACCCATCTCTTGTGATTGTTCAACCGTTAGTCAATCAGTTTCAGTCATAGAATGCAGACATACAGTATAAGTTAAGTGGGGACATACAATATCTCTCCTTCATAGCCTGGCTTGCCTCACTCAGTAGTACATCTTCCATATTCTTCCACTTTCTGTCAAAAGCCAAGGTCATTACATCTTTAAAGTTTAGAAAAAATAATTAGCTTTTTTAGTATGATAATTACTATATTTTAAATATGTATAATTATTTTCCTTCTGCTCAATAGATTAGTAAATTACTCAAAGACATAGATAATAAGATGTCTCATCTAAATTACTCTACTGAGTAATTTTTTTAATTATATTTGTCGATTTATTTATTTTAAAGTTTTCTATAGGGCATATGCACTCACCAGAAAATGAGAGACAGAGAGAAACAGAGGAAAAATGAGAAAGCAAGCCACTAGGTTCAGAACTTGAACTGTAGTCAGCCATGTGGAAGTCCAGTGCCTCAACCACTATGCCACCCATTGGCCCCAAGTAAATTATTTATTAAAAAAAATTTAGGGGACCAGTAGGTGGCATGGTAGTTAGGGTGCTGGACTCCCATATGGTCCACCGCAGTTCAAGTCCTGGACCTGGTGGCTTAAAACTCACTCAGGGCACATGTATGTGTGTGCCCAAAATCCCAAGAGGAGAATAGAGAAGAAGGAATTGCAGTATGGTCAACTCCCTCAGGGGTAGTTTTTTGCTATCTGTCTCTCTGTCTCTCCAGTGTGCACACATGCCCTAATAGCAAAAATCTCTCTTAAAAAAATTTTTTTTTGACAGAGAATGCATGTGCTTACTGAAGACTACGAGAGAGAGAGAGAGAGAGCAAGAAAGCACCCCCATGGGGAATGGTCATACCACAATCCCTTTTCCTCCACTTCTCCTAACTTTTGGAATTTTTGGCGTGCACACTCATGTGCCCAGAATGTTTTTCAAGTTGTTGGGTCTAAGGTTCAAACTACAAAGTTGGTCACATCAGATCCAGCCGCCCCAACTGCCATACTATGTGGTGGCCTAATAAAGTGCCTATAAACTTTTAATTTTTTTTAATTGCCAGAAGGCACAGGTGCCAGAGACAGAGAGAGAGAGAGAAGAACCCCCTCAAGTGGGGTGTAATCTTTCTGCAAACCCTTCTCCATTTCTCCATCTGTCAGGGATTTGTTTATGCACACATGTGCCTGGCATGTTTTTCAACTGGAGCCAGGATTTCAAACCATGGTCAGCATGTGGGATCCAATCCCTTAACCACTGCACTATGGGGACAGCCCCCAAACTTAATATTTTTTTCTTCTGGAGATTTTTTAAAGAGAATTATTTATTTATTTTTATTTATTATCATTATTATTATTAATTTGCTATAGGGACTGCACACTCGCCAGAGAGAGAGGAAAAGAGAGAGAGAAAGAGAAAGCAAGAAATCAAGCTGCCAGGTCCCAGACTTAAACCAAAGTCAGCCACGTGAAAGTCCAGTGCCTTAACCAACATGCCACCTGCTGGCCCTGAGATTTTGGCTATAGGGCGTGTGAACTCACTAGAGAGACAAAGACAAAAAGCAAGAAATCATACCCCTGGTGGGGGGATGGCCACATTGCAATCCCTTCTTTTCCATTCTCCTTGAGATTTTTGGGCACACACACACGTGCCCAGTGTGAGTTTCAAGACGCCAGTTCAGGACTCAAACCACAATTGACCATGTGGCCATCTAGCACCTTAACCACTACACTACCTGCTGGTCCCTCTTTATTTTTAGTTTTGCTGAAGGGCACATGTGTTCAGCAGAGAGAGACAAGAGCAGGAGAGAGAAAGGGAAAGTGAAAAATCACCCCTCGGAGGGATGGCCACACCACAACCCCTTCTCCACTCTCCTCTGGGGATATTGGAATACATGTACACACACCCAGCATGTTTTTCAAACCACCATGTCTGAGACTTGAACTACACAATCAGCCATGTGGGACTCAGCCGGCTTAATTTCTCTACCATCCTCTGGCCCCAAATTTAGTTTTTCAATGTTTATATTTCTCACTAAATGTAGTTTTAGTTCAAATATATAATTTTCTTTTTTTTTAATCATACAAAGCATATGAAGAATCTGTGTTTCTCTACAATAATAAAAACCAAAGGCGCGCAGGGGCCATGCTAATCTTCTCTGTATCATTCCTCTTTTAGTGTATGTGCAGCCAAAGCGAGCACCAAATCTATAATTTTCTGGGTTTGTCATTATTTAAGACTGTATTAGTTCTTTTTATTTTGGAGAGGTTTTTTTTGCTATAGGGCATGTGCATTCGCCAGAAAGATAGATAGAAAGCTAGAAATCACCCCCCAGTGGGGATGACCACGCTACAATTCCTTCTCCTCCATTCTCCCCTTGGGACCTTGGGCACGCACTCACATGCACCTTGAGTGTGTTTAAGCCACCAGGTCCGGGATTTGAACTGCAGTTTACTACATGGGAGTCCAGCGACATAGCCATTACACTAACTGTTGGTCCCAGACTGTATTGGTTCCTTTTCAAAATAGAAATAATTAATATATTTAGTTAGAAACCTGTAATCATATATAAGAATATAATATTTATACATTTCTTCTCTTTTTAGGCAGAAGATGCAGATGAAGCTATGAGTAAATACCTATCAGAAAAATTAAAGTTGAAAGACAAGTGGCTTGGAGTCTGGAAGACTAATCCTGACTTATTTTTTATGAAATACGAAGAAGCTTCTATTCCTTTTGTTGGTATACTGGTTGAGGTAGATAAATTTCACTCACCCTTTGTTATTTTTCTAATATTTTTTAAATTACTTAATTTTTAAATTTATTATTATTTTAAAAGAATTATTTATTTTATTTGTTGTTGTTATTTTTATTATTCTTTAATTTGATCAGAGAGAGACAGAGAGAGAGGGAAAGTGAGAAAGCAAGCTGCCAGATCCAGGACTCAAACCATAGTCAGCCATGTGGGAGTCTAACACATTCACCACTGTGCTACCTGCTGGCCCCATATTATTATTTTTTAAATTTTGCTATAGGACACATGTGCTTACCAGAAAGAGACAGAGAGAGAAAGTGAGAAAGCAAGTCACGGGAATAGCAGTTAGCGTAATGGCTATGTCGCTGAACTCCCATGTAGTCGACCACGGTTCAAGTCCTGGACCTGGTGGCTTAAACTCATGCCGGGTGCATGTGCGTGTGTGCCCAAGATCCCAAGAGGAGAAGAGAGGAGAAGGGATTGCGGCATGGCCATCACCCCTGGGGTGGGGGGTGATTTCTCGCTTTCTGTCTCTCTGTCTCTCTCTCTCTGGCGAGCGTACACGCCCTATAGCAAAAACCTCTCCAAAAAACAGAACTGTTGACCTCTGACCTGCTGGATAGCTGTCCACCTGGGTCTTCTCCCTTCATCACCATCCTAGGAATTCCTTTCATAATTCTCTTGTGCAAATAACCTAATTCCCACATATTCTGTCTTTCTTTTTTCTTGGCTTATTCTCTCATCTTGGCCAGGGACCTTATTCTAATAGTTTCATGAGTAAAGGTACAAAGCAGATAGATAAAAGTGCTGTGATCCTGTATACCTGAAAACATCTTTACCAGAGCTTCATATTTACTTGGTAGAGTGGGTATATGAATTCTAGGTTCAATTTTATGTTCAAAATTTGGAAAGTACTGATCCATTGTCTTCAAACTTCCAGTGTTGTTGATTGAGAAGTCAATATCATTGACCTTTTGATATCTATATTTTTCTCTCCGAAAATTTGTATTACCTTCTGCTTTTTCAAAGCCTTCTATTGGACCAGCAGCTGGCATAATGGCTATGTCACTGGACTCCCATGTAGTCAATGACAGTTTGAGTCTCGGACTTACGCCAGGCACATGTGCATGCGTGCCCAAGATCCCGACAGTAGAATGGAGAAGGGATTGCAGTGTGGCCATCCTCCCAGGGGGTGATTTCTCACTTTCTGTCTCTCTGTCTCTATGCTACAGCGTAGCAGTTATGTCACTGGACTCCCACATGGCCAACCAGGGTACAAGTCCTGGACTCAGTGGCTTGAAGCTCATGCTGGACGTGTGTGAGTGCGCAAAATCCTGAGAAGGGAATGGAAGAGAAGGGATGGTGGCGTGGCCATCCCCCCTGGGGTGTTATTTCTCCCTTTCTGTCACTCTGTCTCTCCCTGTGCCTCCAGTGAGTTCACATGCCCTATTGCAAAAATCTCTCCAAAATAAATAAATAAATAATAATTTTAGAAACTTTATAATTAGGCCATACATGGGAAAGAAATTCTTGTGATTTACCAACATTTGTGTTCACATATCTTATATTTATCTTAGGTAACTTGTAAACCACACCAAAATTCATCCTCTTGTTTCAAAGTTACTGTTCGTGTTGTTGAGCCATTTTCTTCAAACATTGCGAATATTCCAAGGGATTTGGTTGGTGAGATTTTGGAGGAGCTGGAGCACAGTGTCCCTCTCCTGGAAGTGTACCCCGTTGAAGGACAAGATGCTGATGTGTGTGATATTGCTTTGGCCTTGGAAGTTGTAAGGTATTATGGCCTTTTATTCTGAAAGTTAACATGATCATATTCAAAAGTTAATGTGACAGTTGTGCTCATCTAAGGACCTTATAAATATTTGTGATTTTAATTTTTACTGCTGGATTAAATGTGTCCATTTTTAATTAACATACTGCATTTGTAAATTTTTAAGTAAATTTCATGGAGGAAGGATTTTATATGGATAGTGAAAGTTGGCCATTTTCTGATCTGGCATTTTACAAAAATTGAATTATAAATAGCTCTATACATTAACTCCCTTTCATTTTTAAGCATCTTAAATACATTAGATTTCATTTTTCATGTTGCAGAGCATTGAGAAGACTAGATTTCACCATCCACATTATGATATGATTGCTTCGTAGAAGTTGGTAGCTTTTGAAGGAAGCTGTCTACATATAAAATATAGATTTTTTTTGCATGTGTTTATTTATTTAATGCTGGCCCTATACAAATTTGGTTATATGTTACAGACTATTTCTTTTTTTAAAGAATTATTTAATTTTATTTTTTATTATTATTATTAAATGTTTCTATATACTATGTGCACTCACCAGAGAAAAACACAGAGAGAGAGAAAGAGGGAAAGTGAGAAAGCAAGCCTCCAAGTCCAGGACTTGAACAGTGGCTCAGTCATCTGAGAGTTCAATACCTTAACCCCCATGCCACCTGCTGGCACCCATATTATTTCTTTTTTTGATAATTATTTTATTTAATTTTATTAAATAATTTTATTAGTATTATTTAATTTGCTATAGGGCACATGCACTCACCAGAGAGAGAGAGAAAGAGTAAGCAAACTGCCAGGTCTGGGACTTGAACCATGGTCAGCCATATGGGAGTACAACACCTCAACCACCATGCCACCTGCTGCTCTCCCCCCCATATTATTTCTTTATTGAACAAAATCATAACCAAATCTATGAAATTTAGAACTAGAATTTTATAATCACTGTTCTAGAAATATTATCTTATTTGGAGTAACCTAAAATAGAACTATATCATTTAAAATGTTTTCTCTTTTACTGTTAGTTTACTGAAAGATTACTTTAAAAATATTTGTCTTAAGAATTACGATTCAAGTGCTTGCACATCAATGTTTATTGCGACACTATTCACGGTTGCTAAGACATGGAACCAATCCAAATGCCCCAATACAGATGAATGGATTGAAAATCTGTGGCACATACACTCTATGGAATACTATTCAGTCATAAAAACCAACAAAAACCTGGCTTTTGACAGAAAGTGGAAGAATATGGAAGATTTACTGCTGAGTGAGGCAAGCCAGGATATGGAGAGACATTGTATGTCCCCACTTAACATATACCGAATGTCTGCACTCTGTGACTGAAACCAATTGACTAAAGGTTGTACGAACACAAAAGATGGGTGCTAATGTCATATGAGGTGTGTGTGGAGGAGGGGGGGCCTAAGGAAGGACATTTGGAGAAGGGATACAGAGATAGAGCATTGACGGGATGGGGAGGTGTGGTGTTATCAGTTGAAGATATTTTGATCAACAGGACTGGGGAGAAATGTTCACATATTGAAATGCTCACATTGTAAGCTAAACAATGTGATTGAATGTATATACAAAATTAATTAATTAATTAATTAAAAGAATTACAATTCATGGGACCAGCAGATAGTGTGATGGACTCCCATGTAGTCAATCACAGTTCGAGTCCCAGATCCGGTGGCTTAAACTCATGTCAGGCACATGTGTGTGCATTCCTAAGATCCCAAGAGGAGAAGGGACTACAACATGGCCATCTCCCCTGTAGGGGGTGATTTCTTGCTTCCTGTCTCTCTATCTCTTTCTGTCTCTCTGGCAAGCTCACACACCCTATAGCAAAAATCCCTCCCTTAAAAAAAAAGAATTACGATTCATATAGAGGTTTCTGACATCAGAATATCTTTTTAGTTTTAAGCACAGTAATGGCTGTTTTTGACTACTGTCATCTTAATTTGGTTTATTGTAGGTTTTTTTATGACTTTCTTTGGAGAGACTGGGATGAGGAAGAAAGTTGTGAGAATTATACTGCTCTGATTGAAGAAAGAATTAATTTGTAAGTATCATTTAGAAAATCATCCAGCACATTACAAAAGATTAACGTTGTAACTATATTGATGCTTTTCAGGTGGTGTGATATACAGGATGGAACAATACCTGGTCCTGTTGCACAACGTTTTAAAAAAACTTTGGAGAAATATAAAAACAAGCGTGTGGAGCTCATCGAGTATCAGAGCAATATTAAAGAAGATCCATCTGCAGCAGAGGCTGTCGAATGCTGGAAGAAGTACTACGAGATAGTAATGCTCTGCGGATTATTGAAAATGTGGGAAGATTTACGCCTTCGGTAATATTTTTCTGTATTTTAAGTAGAAACAAAAGATTAGATGGCCATTCTTTTACCATAGCACTTAACTGGCCACATATGTTGCCCAGATTTGAAAATTAGATATCTAATGTATGAGGTAACACCAGATTCACTGAAATCATTGTTTATTTGGGCATGTGTGCAGAATTCACTGAAATCATTGTTTATTTGGGCATGTGTGCAGAATTCACTGAAATCATTGTTTATTTGGGCATGTGTGCTTGCCAGAGACAGAAAGGGAGGGAAAGTGAGAAAGCGCCCTGGACATGGCATGATCACATCGCAATCTATTCTCTTCCATCTCTCCCACCTTTCAGATCCGGGGGCATGCACACACACTGCACCTGCTGTATGTTTTACACCGCCAGGTCTGGGACTCAGACTGCATAGTCGGCCATGCAGGACCCAGCCGCCTTAACCACCATGCCACCGGTTGACCCTGTTTATTTGTTTTTAAACGAAAAATAGTCCTTTCCTTGTCTTTCATCTTTACCTTTTCAATTTTGTCCAAAGCATAAGAAAAAAAAAAGTGGACATCTTTTACATGTAATACATGAAATAAATAAGAGAAGGTTGACTAGATTGACTACTTCTTGATTTCAGCTTTTTTAACCAACGTAAGTTGATGAAATTGCTTTCAATGATAAATAGAACAATGTACAGTAGATTCACCCCATATCATTGTCCAGAATACTTAAAAATGTATTAAAGAATTTTTACATTACTGTGCAATGAGGAAGTATATGTTTATGTCTTCGTAGTATGTATGGGGGAAGAGGAATTCTTCCTCATGGTCCCAAAACTGACAGAAAATCTTGAGGGGAGGCAAAGGACGTCTGATCGTTTCATACTAAACTCCTTCTCTGATGCCTCACCTTTACTTATTCTTTACCCTTAGGACAAGTCACTTTTCACTTTTCTAAAAATTAAATATTGCCCTAAATTTCTCCTTTTTGTATTTTCCTCTAAATTTGAGGATTTCTTTGATCATTGAGAATCCCCTTCTAGTGATTATTTTTGATATTTCATTGTTAATGAGATTCCTGTGGTAAACCTCGGGATTACTTGGAGAAACTATGGTAGATGAGGTTTTTTTAAATCTACATATCTAGAAATCTATAGCGTCAACACAAGGTGAATTTGAATACAAGTTATCCTCACTAGATCATCACTAGACTTTAGACTTCAATGGCACAGAGCAGCCTAGAGTTCTCTTACCTTAAAAGTTATCATCAAAGGGGCCTTTGGAGCCATGTTTTTTCTGTCCCCTCAGGTCCATTCCCAGTACTCTGGAGAGTGTACTTTCACTTCCACTAAATAAACTATCTTTTCCCTTTCACAAAAAAAAAAAAAAAAAAAAAAAAAGGAAAAAAGAAAAGAAAAGAAAAAAGAAAAAGTTATCATCACAGGGCCAGCCCATGTCCGGGTGGTTAAAGCAACATTGCCAACTATAGTCCCAGACCTGGCAGCTTGAGAAACACACCGGACGCATGTGCCTACGTGGCCAAAAATCTTCAAAGGAGGTTGGAAATGGAGAAGAGGAGATTGTGGCATACCATGCTGTAGGGCAGGGTGCTTTCTCACTTTCTCTCTCCAGTAAGTGCTCATGCCTACTGGAATGAGTTGGTTGGTTAGAATCCTTCTACCAGATAATAATGACAAAATCTGGAAAAAATATACTAAATGTATAAACTCTTTGGAAGCACTATAAAGTGATAGAAAGCAGACAACAACCAGAAAAAGTATATTCTTGAAATTGATTTACCCTTGGAATGGATTATTAAAAATACTTGTAGGGCCAACCAGGTGCCATGGTGCTTAAGGTGGCTGGATCCCACATGGCCAACTGTGTGGGTCAAGACCCAGACCCTGTGGTTTGAAAAACACGCTGGATACGTGTGTGTGCATTCATTAGGTGATTAAAGCATATAAATTAGTGGGGAAAATGACAGTAATGTCATAAAGGATGGGAAGATAGATACTACACTTGATATTAGCTAAAAGGCCACAAAGAAATGGGAGGATAGAATCAGAACTTTTTTTTTTTTTTTTGAGAGATTTTTTTGCTATAGGGCATATGTGCTTGCCAGAGAAACAGACAGAATCACCCCCCAAAGGGGATGTCCATGCCATAGTCCCTTCTCCTCCATTCTCCCCTTGGGATTTTGGGCACGCACGCACACGCACCCAGCATGAGTTTTAAGCAACCGGGTCCAGGACTTGAACTGCTGTTGACTATGTGGGAGTCCAACAATGTAACCATTACGCCATCTGCTGGCCCCATAGAACTGGGAATTCTGTTATAAGATTATCTACACTACATATGAAGTACAATAGTGTTATTTATTTTACTTATTACTTTTAAAGTTTATCTTATCGATGAGTAAAAGCACCATATGTACTTACATGCATGTGAGACAGACACCTCTGACAGGGTCTCATCACACAGCTATTCCCTTCCCACAGCCCTTCAGCTCATCAGGATCCTGGAGCGGATGCATCCAATGTATTTTCAGGTTAACTGAACATCTGAACCCGCAGTCACACATGTGGCTTCCAGCACTGAGTCAGTATACGGTGCCTGCACCACTAAAGCTGACATAGAATAGAGTTATTTGTAAGTGGACTTAAATTGGGAGAAAGGTACATTGCAATCTCCAGGGAAAATGCTAGAAACCCCCCTCTTTTTTTTTTTTTGGAGAGGTTTTTGCTATAGGGCATGTACGCTTGCCAGAAAGACAGAGACAGAAAGCGAGAAGTCACTCCCCCGGGGGAGATGGTCACTCCACAATCCCTTCTCCTCTATTCTCCTCTTGGGGTCTTGGGCACGCAAGCACACATACCTGACGTGTTTTTATCCTTTTTTTTTTCTTGGAGAGGTTTTCACTATCGCGGGTCGCCTGCATGGGAGTCCAGCAACATAGCCATTATGCCAACTGCTGGTCCCCAGAAACTCCTTTTTAAAAAGTGTTAATTGAGGGGCCATCAGATGCTGTAGCTTTTTTGTTGCTGGACTTCCACATGGACGACCATGGTTTGAGTCCTGGACCCGGTGGCTTGAAACTTACACCGGGTGCACGTGTGTGTGTGCCCAAGATCCTGGGAGGAGAATGGAGGAGAAAGGATTACAGTGTGGTCACATCCCCTGGAGGGGAGTGATTTCTCACTTTCTCTCTCACTGTCTCTGTCTCTGTCTCTCTCTCTTTCTGGCAAGTGCATGTGCCCTAATGCAAAAACCTCTATTAAAAAATAATTAAATATGGGACCAGCAGTTGGCATAATGGCTATGTCACTGGACTCCCACGTAGTCGACCGCGGTTTGAGTCCCAGACCCGGTGGCTTAAACTCATGCAGGGCGCACGTGCGTGCCTGCCCAAGATCCTAAGAGGAGAATGGAGGAGAAGGGATTGTGGCGTGGCCATCCCCCCTAGGGGGTGATTTCTCGCTTTCTGTCTCTCTGTCTCTGTCTTTCTGGCAAGCCCACGGGCCTTATAGCGAAAACCTCTCCAAAAAAAATCATAATAATAATAAAAACTGTAATTGACCTATTAAGAAAGTAGATAAAATATGAGCCAAGCAAATGGTGTAGTGGTTAAGGTGCTGGACTCCCACATGTCCAACTGCCTTTCAAGTTCCAGACCTGGAGACTTGAAACATGCTGGGCGCCAGGGCATGAGTGCCCAAAATCCCAAGAACTGAGAAGGGATTGTGGCATGGCCACGCCTCCTGGGGGATGATTTCTCACTTTCTCTCTCTCTGTCTCTTGGATGAGCACAAACTCCAAAGCAAAAACAAAAAGTATGTAAGGGACCTGCAGATGGTATAATGGTTACATTGTGGACTTTCACGTAGTCAACCGTGGTTTGAGTTCTAGACCCAGCAGCTTAAAACTGACACTGGCACCTGCACGTGCTTGCCCAAGATCCTGAGAGGAGAGTGGAGAAGGCCGTGGCCATCCTTCCTGGGGGGTGATGTCTCACTTTTCCTCTGTCTCTCTCTGGCTAGCACATGCATCCTATGGCAAAAACAAAACAAAGCAAAACAAAACAAAATAGTTTATTATTAAAATTCCAGAAAGAGAAATTTGTGGTTACAGAAGACAGATCGGTGTTCACCTGGGAGATGGTGTGAAAGATGGACTGCAAAGATGCATGAGGGAACTTAACCTGATGGAAACGTTCTAGGTCTTGATTACCAGACTTGAGATAAATTGGTGTACACATTTGTGAGGTCTTATGGAATAGTTCACATAAAATGAGTATCTTTTATGTAAGTTATACCTTAATAAATTTGATTTAATAAACACTTATATATACAATTTTTTCTAAAACAAGAATAGCATGATGAACTGTGTTTTCCTGAATGTTTAGGAAGCTTTACTCTTGGAATGGCTTGTAAAATGGTATATAGTGAAAAGATATTTGAGTGGTTCTCTAATTCTCAAGATTAAAACCATGGGGACCAGCAGTTGGCATAATGGCTATGTCACTGGATTTCCATGTAGTCGACCGTGGTTCGAGTCCTGGCCGCAGTGACTTGAACTCACACCAGGCGTGTGTGTGTGCATGCCCAAGATCCCAAGAGGAGAATGGAGAAGGGATTACAGCATGGCCATCTCCTCTGGGGGGTGATTTCTCGTTTTCTGTCTCTCTGTCTCTGGTGAGCACACACGCCCTGTAGCAAAAAACTCTCAAAAAAAAAAAAAATTAAAACCATGTAGAGCCAACTCAATAACAACTTAGTGATAAAAGGAGCCAGGTTCTACATGGCTAACTATGGTTCAAATAATGGCCTGGTTGCTTGAAAAATACACCATGTACATGTATGTATGTGCCCAAAATCTCAACAGGATGTAGAAATGGAGGAGAAAGGATTGTGATGTGACCACATCCCATTGGGGAGTGCTTTCTCTTTTTCTCTCTGGTGAGTCAATGTATCTTCTGGCAATTAAAAACCACCACCAACAACAACAACAATAACAACAACAAAGCAAAAATCAAAAAAGCACTTTCTTAAATAGGTATAAAATTGCTGGGTAGATTTAATTTTGAAATGTTTAATGAAACTTTTTTTTTAGAGAGAGATTTTTTTAAGAGAGATTTTGCTATGGTTTTGTGCACTTGCCAGAAAGACAGAAACAGAAAGCAAGAAATCACTTCCCCGGGGTGGGGATGGGGGTGGGGGGGGGATGGCCATGCTGGAATCCCTTCTCTACTCCTTTCAGGATTTTGGGCATGCACACATACATGTCCAGCATGAGTTTCAAGCCACCGGGTCTGGGACTTGAACCTCGATTGGTCATGTGAGAGTCCACTGACTTAACCACTATGCTACCTGCTGGCCCCATGTTTAATGAATCTGTTGCTTTGGAAGACACTGCTAATATGTTCAAGTTCAAATTGTAATAACTTGCATGGAAAATTTTAGAAAAGTTTCCTGTAATCTTAAGCTTCACAAAAATATTTAGTAATTGAAGTATAAACTTAGAAATATTGGTAGTAAAACTGTATCCCTTTAGCATCAAGCAACCACTGAAGTGCTGCAAAAAAAAAAAAGATACCTAAGGAGACTGCTGAGAAATCTACATCTGCTAGAGAAGGGTTGCCCATTTTGGCTCATAGTACTATTAAAAGTCATTGCTTAACCTGAAAGTTTTTCTCTTTGTCTTGGAGCCACTTAAGTGATTGAGAGATAGAAAATAGGAAATGTAAAGAAAAGCAGAAAGAAGAGAGAGTGGAATTCATTAGAAATGCTGAACAGTAAATATAAAAAAACAGGCGAGCAGCTTAGAAGTCTTGTGCTGAGAGTCCAGTGATCAGTGATGCAATGGAGAGCACATTTTATGATTTAAAAAAAAGACTTTATTTATTTTTACATTTTTGCTATAGGGCACGTGTGCTCACCAGAGAGGGACAAAGAGAAAGGAAAAGTGAGAAATCACTGGCTGGCCCCTGATTTTGTTTTTAACTTGCCAGAAGGCATGCGTGCTCACCAGAGAGAGACAGAGATGAAGACAGAGGGAGAAAACACCACCTAGGAGAGCATGGATATGCCTCACTCCTTGTCCTCCATTTCTCCATCCTGTTGGGATCTTGGGCATGCATACACGTATGCATGCATGCGTATGGTGCATTTTCCAAGCCTCTGGGTCCAGGACTGGAACCATGTGATAGCTATGTGGGATCCAGCTCCCTTAACACCTAGGCTCCAAAAGAATCTGTTATTTGAACATAGTATCTACAATTAGTCAGGTACCAAAATATTCGTATGCCTCAGTATCACAACATACCTCATTTTTTTGCTTTGTGTGAGTCCACAGCTCAGTAGGTTATGAAAGTATTATCAGGAAATTTTATTTCTATTTTTTTAAAGAATTATTTTTTAATTTAATTTTATTTGTTACTATTTTTTAAATTTGACCAAAGAGAGAGAGAAAGAAAGGCAAATGAGAAAGCAAGCCACCAAGTCCAGGACTTGAACTGTGGTAGGCCACGTGGTAGTCCAGGACCTCAACCAACATGCCACCTGCTGGCCCCAATAAGGAAATCTTCTACTGTCTGGGAAGGTTGAGGTACCTGGGGCAGTGGTGCAGTGGCTGTAATGGGCTGCATGCTTATTTCCAGGTACAACCCATTAAAAATGAAAAAAGTTTAGAGTTCTAGGGCTTAAACATAGTTACTTAATTGTTTTGTTTGTTTGTTTGTTTGGTTTTGGTTTTTTTTTTTTTTTTTGCTATAGGGCACATGCGCTCGCCAGAAAGACTGAGAGAGACAGAGAGACAGAAAGTGAGAAATCACCCCCCCCCGAGCGGGGTTGACCATGCCACAATCCCTTCTCCTGCATTCTCCTCTTGGTATCTTGGGCACGTACATGCCCAGCATGAGTTTAAGCCACCAGGTCCAAGACTCAAACCGCGGTCAACTACATCGGCGTCCAGCAACATAGCCACTATGCTAACAGCTGGTCCCTACTTTAAATATCTTAATCATTACATTGCTCGAGACCAGCAGAGGGTATAACATTAGCATTGCTGTAGGTGATCACAATTCGAGGTCTGGATCCAGCACCTTAAAACTCATGCCGGGTGCCTGTGTGTACATGCCCAAAATCCTAAGAGGAGAATGGAGGAGAAGGGATTGCAATGTGGCCATCTCTCCTCAGGAGAGTGATTTCTCACTTTCTATCTGTCTCTCCAGCAAGCACACACACCCTATAGCCCAAAACACCTCTCTCTAAAAAGAAAAACTGAATACTTTCATCAAATTAAGTACGAATAGTATGTAAAAACAAAAATAATCACAAATAAAACAAAGGTCAAATATTAACATGAGAGGCTGGCTGTTAACAGCAACGAAAATATCACAAAAATGTTTTTAACTGTAGAGTACATGGACCTTTCTTTCCAAGAATTCTGAGGCGTAGGAAAGGAAAAAGAGACTTTGGAAAGACTATAACACATATTGTAGCGAAAGTGATGACTACTGAAATGGTAAGAAATACACTTTTATTTTTATTTGTTCATTTCTATTTTAGCTGCATATAATCAGAAGAAGTTCCCTGGAGGTAGAATTCTTGCCCGCCTTATTTTTCCCATCACATCCAGTGTGGTGACTGGCATTTAGTAGGCACTGAATAAGTGAATGTTAACAGCTCTTTACTGCGTACTAACCTCGCTGCCCGGTGCTATGCTAGTAGCTACGGTGAAGACAAGACTCAGATGTGAGAAAGACTGCGTTCAGAGGAGGAATGATGAACAGTGATGAATCAGACCCACATTTTGCTTCTTCTTACATTCAACACTCAACAAATCCCAAGCATGGTAGAGATGTGCACAAGGAAACAGGCAATTACAACACAGGATGATATGTGCTTTGGAGGGGTCCTTATGGGCTGCACATAAGACAGAATTAGGGATTCTGGTGATGCTGGCTGGATGATAGCTGGAACCTGGAGAAGGAGTATCAATTTAGTCAGCGCAACATGCAGAGCCCACAGTAGGTATTTGCATCTCACTTGATCTCTCAGTAATATTTCAAAGCTCTCCATGAAATACTCTTTTCTCATTTTATGGTATGGTTTCTCTGTTGTTGTTGCTTTTTCCCCTTATATCCTCTGCATGCTTGGCACTTCTCCCTTTTATGCACTGCACTATCATCCCTAAATTATTTATCTAATCTCTCATAATTCCATTTATACTTATGTACTTATGATCCAAAACGGGTACTTCTGTTCCAAGCCTGAAATCTCTATGTCCAGCTGCTTACTGTTCATCGCCATTGCTTGGTGCTCACAAGTACTTCAACTTGGGCGTCCACATCTGAATCTGAATTCAGTGACCTGATGCATTGACTTGATTATATTCTAGACTTCTCTATTTTAGTAGGTGTCACCACCAGATACCGGTTACTTGTGACAATTTCCTGGGTCCTGTTCTCTGTCATGGTCTTCAGCACCTTCATACATTTTCTCCTCCCCTGCTGACCCCACATCCTGGAGGAACTGTGTGGCTTCCTCAGCGTGTCGAGCCATCTCATCTTCCAAGTCTCAGTTTAAGTATCATTTAAACAGAAAAAGCCTTCTCAGCCTTTAGAATGCATTATACAGCTGACTAGAGCACCGTGCACCTTTCCTTAGTAACACTTCCTGTGTTGTGGCCTATCTAATACTCTTTGTGACTATCTATTGACTGTCCATTTCTTTCACTAGAATATGAGCTTATTGAGAACAAGGAGTATGTGCTTACCATGAATCATCCAACCACCTAACATGGCACAGCTTTTGTTGAATCAATAAATCAGTGTATGGAGTCAGCACTGGCATGGAGGTTAAGGCAGCTGGCTCCCAGATGGCTGACAGTGTGGTTCTGGCCCCGTGACTTGAAAAATTATGCTAGGTTAGGGGGCCAGCAGGTGGTATGGCGGACCATGGTTCACACACATCCCAGGCACTGGACTCCCACATGGCTGACCATGGTTCACATCCCAGACCTGGTGGCTTACTTTCTCACTTTGCTTTTCTCTCTCTCTCTCTGGTCAAATTTTAAAATAATAATAATAATAATAAAATATTTTTAAAAAATTTTTTAAATGGGACCAGCAGTTGGCATAATGGGGTTTGAGACACGGAACCAGTGGA